GACACTTTCGAGAAGATACCCATACTAATAATTTCTTCCCATTTAGGATATAACAATAATTTATTAATTACTTCAAACTTATTTATTATTCACATTGTGGCCTATATTATCAGAATAATTAAAACAGCTTAACAGGACTGAAGCATAAGTTAGGAAGAGAAACAGATGCACACCAAAAAGGAATAGTAAACAGGGAGCCTATAGTTACTTAGGTAAAAATATTTAATATTATGCTTGTCGGATTTAATAAAATTTTTGAGTAAATAGTTTATCTGCTTATGTCGCATTTATTTATCATGCTCTTATATTTATTCTTAAATATAACTGTTATAATTTATCAGTATAACTGAATAATTTATTTAAATATTTTATCTACTTATGAAGTAGAAAATATAGCGATTTTACGCAGTCCAGAACAATTTATATTCTTTGACTCGTGCATATATTTTTTCTTGAAGCATCATTAAAATGGTTTATTCTGCGTACCAATGCTGCATTGAATTATAACAGAGTACGAATGTGCGAGAAAATTATAGTTTCCTAATCATTCGAAACAAAATATATTACTCAGAATAAAAAAATCTGAAAATATTTTTTAAGAAAACCCTTTAAAATATCCACGAGAGACAATTTCTTAAAATTAATTAGATTGTTTATGACTCCACGAGACTTGAACTAAAAATAAGATACTAAAAGAAAATAACACAAAATGCAATGATAATGTATAAATAATAATATTTCAATGCCTTTTTAAAGAGAAAAAAATAATAATTAATTGTCTTTACAGTAAACTAATTACTTCTATTTTCTCAATGTTTATAACTTCGAAATTGAAGAAGTGATGAAAGATCAAGTTTTTCTTAAGAACACTAAAGATAGGTAGAAATTCCAAAAGAAGAAATAAAACAGTGTATACTTTTTCTATAAACACAAATGAAAACTGAAAAATTCAGACTTTAAATGTATGTACCTAACTATTTTCTGAAATATTAACAAATATCAGAATATACAAAGCTTAAAGATGCAAAAATGTATCAAAAATAATTTTTATAAAAGTATTTAATATTTAATGAAGAGATGCGGAGCCTAATAGTAAATTTATTTATCGATTAAAATTTGTTATTGGTGTTTTCTTTGCAAATTATAATTGGGTTATCTTATAAATTTTCTCCCAAAATAGCGGAATTTTATTCTTTTTCATTTCTTATTAAAGAGTACTCTAACACAATTTTCTTTTCCCTCACATTTTGAATATTAAATAACCTATCGCCATTAGGATTATACACTCATGGGCAAAAATATTAGCTCACCAAGAAATAATTGCGGGATCGTAACGAAACTTAGCATGAAAGTACATGTCGAGGACACATGCAAATGATTAGAAATGCACCTTGATTGCGCTTTACGTATAGCCGGTAGAGGGCGTTTAACGTAGTTCTCCGTAGAGTATAAAAAGGTAACCAAACCTTATTCGAGTGTGCTGAATCGTTTACAAAAGAATAGCTCAGGTAGACATGCCATTACGCCATTTTCGAAGTCAATATGAACAGCTGTCGCAGTTTGAGGGGAGGAGAATCATCGACATGATAGAAGCTGGGTGGTCAGCTAGGGAAGTAGCTCGTCAACTAGGCCACGCTGATTGTGTTGTGAGGAGGTATTGAGACCAGTGGATCCGAGAAATGTCATTTACACAATACCAGGTTCAGGACGCTCTCGGCAGACTAGTTATCGAGAAGACATAGTAAGAAATGCACTCATACAGCCAACTGCTTCATCGGCCACCATCCAGACACAGGTAGCACCTTCATTAGGGACCCCTGTGTCTTCCTGAACCATGCAAAAGCACTTGGCTGAAGGACATTTAGGATCACGGCACCCATTACGTGTTCTGCCCTTGACGTCCACCCATCGACGCCTCCGTTTGGAGTGGTGACGCGCACGAGAAACTGGACTGAGTGAAATGGAACCAGGTCATCTTTAGCGACGATTCCAGATTCAATCTCAGCAGTGATGACCCCCTGGTGAGCGTCTCAAACCTGCCTTTGATTTACAACGACACGCGGCTCCCACATCTTGTGTGCTGGTATAGAATGCCATTGTCTACAGTACACGGGCACCCCTGCAATTGATCCATGGCACCATGACATCCCAGAGATATGTTCATGTCTTCCTGCAACCACATGTGTTGCCACTCATGCAATGGCTCCCAGGAGTCATTTTTCAACAAGACAATGATCAGCCTCACACGGTGAGGGTGTCAAAAGTCTTTCTCCGCACTGTTACTACCCTTTCTTGGTCTGTCTGATGCCCATATTTGTCTCCAATTGAGAATATCTGGGATCATTTGTTACGGTGAGTTGGACATCCCACGAGTGTTCAGGAACTAGAGGCAAGTTTACTGAAAATTTGGAACAAAATGTCTCAAGACATCATATAGAACTTGTATGCATCAATGCCTGATCATATCGCATCGTGCATTCGCGATAGAGGGGGTTCAACAGAGTATTAAATTATCCGTTCTTTTGCCTTTTTCTATGAAATAAATGATCCTTTTTTCTTTGATTTTCTAACCATTTACTTTTATCAAAGTAGTCATTACGTATGTAAAATTTCGTTTCATTTTGACGACTCTTTCTTGGTGCGCTATTTTTTTTTGTCCATAAGTGTATTTTGAAAGGTGCATCTCTGCTTTGCTATACATGAAACATTCTTTTAAAAAATTTACAATAGAGCTGCTACTTGGTATTTACTATTGCAGACCTAGTACATACCCGGGAGCTGGGATTATTTTTTTAGTGCGACACAATATAGGTGGGATACAAATCATATCAATGTTACTTTAACGCTCAGTTTCCTCCCCAGAAGGAAGCACCTGAGCTCTGACGATGCGAAATGATACAAGGAATAAAATCTTTCCTAGAGCACCTATGTCAAATAGGCACTCAAGGGACCATTAACATGTCGGAAAATCATACGGCATGGACACTGTTAATTTTCTGCCTCGAACCCGCAAACTTAAGTTGAACGAGGCCAGCGACAAACCAACTATGCCACATAACTGGTTACATGAAACATATATATGGAAAAATAAACTACTTCCGATACATAGGAATAAAAAAATTACTATTTTATATTGAGTATGAAATAACGTATTGAAAGAAAAAAGTAGTATATAAGAAAATTGAAACCTGTACGTTTTTTCTTTTTTAAAAATTGATGCACTAGCATCAGTTTTGTCTGTTGAAAAAAATCAATATGGTTAAGACAAATTAAAGCTTATATAATTATAAAATAATATTTTTATTAAATTTGCTAAGCACTATTCAAAACAACAAATGCTATATTAAAACATTTTACGTAGCTGAAGCTTGGTTTAATTTAGTGTTCTTCATTAGAGAAGCGTTTAACAATATGGTTTTAAATTAGAAAAAAGAGCAAGCGCAACAACTTTCAAACTAAATACCATAATATCCGTTATATAAAGGGCACCTATACATTCCAGCTGCAGTTTTTTTTATTTTTAAGTATATTCGCTGTATACATAAACCCCCATTTTTACGAAAAAAACCTGAAATATTGTGCTCAATACTCTTTTCTTTGAAGTCATTTATTCGAGGTATTATTTAAGCTTTAGAAAAAATAGTACAGTTCTAATGCTACAATTTCTAAAATTCATAAAGAATGCCATTTGTTTTAAGATAAAAGTGTTTCGATCTATGTATAAGTCCCATTTTCTTCTATGTTCATCTGTTACCCGACGTATAAGGCGTAGCCGTACATTTCGATCTTATTTTTTGTGTTAAAAGGGCGTGTTATACGCCGGATTTTACTGTAATTAAATAAGTGTTTAAATCAGAACGCTTACAATTTTAAAGATGCTTTAACTTTAATAAGTTCAAGAAAATTAAAATTTGCAACAATAATAATCACGAATATTTTCATCGAGCTGCTTGTAAATATAAATTCAAAAAGCTACTTTAAAAAACAAATCAAATTTTTGAAGTTATACTTCTTTTGGGCATTAGGGAAGAAGGATGAGGGTAAGTGTTTTCGATGCTCGCACACACCGACACGGATGTGACGCAAAACCGTCACGGATGTGAAAATGCTTTGTCTAGAAAAATACAGAACCGGACAGATTATTTCGAAATTCTCAGAAAACTATTTATCTTCACTTCCCTGAAGAAGAGGAAACCCAGGACTTATCGATCAGCAGTCAAATGCTCTATCACTGAGCTATACACCCCGTATCAGCGAACATTTGCTTTGCGTTACGTAGGAAGGAATACGAAAATGCTTTGCCTAGAAATATACAGAACGGGACATATCATTCCCGCCTTCAAAATTCTCAAAAACATATTTTCCTTCTCTTCCATGAAGAAGGGGGCATCTGGGTTTGAATTGGGAACCTCTCGATCTACAATCAAATGCTCTATCACTGAGCTATACACCCCGTATCAGCGAACATTTGCTTTGCGTTCCGTAGGAAGGAATACAAAAATGCTTTGCCTAGAAATATACAGAACGGGACAGATCATTCCCGCCTTCGAAATTCTCAGAAACATATTTTCCTTCTCTTTCATGAAGAAGGGGCATCTGGGTTTGAATTGGGAACCTCTCGATCTACAATCAAATGCTCTATCACTGAGTTATACAACCCGTATCAGCGAACATTTGCTTTGCGTTCCGTAGGAAGGAATACAAAAATGCTTTGCCTAGAAATATACAGAACGGGACAGATCATTCCCGCCTTCGAAATTCTCAAAAACATATTTTCCTTCTCTTTCATGAAGAAGGGGGCATCTGGGTTTGAATTGGGAACCTCTCGATCTGCAGTCAAATGCTCTATCACTGAGTTATACAACCCGTATCAGCGAACATTTGCTTTGCGTTCCGTAGGAAGGAATACGAAAATTCTTTGCCTAGAAATATAAAAAACGGTACAGATCATCCCCGCCTTCGAAACTCTGGAAAAAATATTCCTCTTTACTCCCCTGAAGAAGGGGAACCCGGTTTTGATCCGGGGACCTCTCGATCTGCATTCGAATGTTCTACCACTGAGCTATACCCCCGCGTCTTCAAACCATTGCCTTGCGTTCCATAGAAATGGATACCAAAACGCTTTACTTAGAAATATACAGAACGGGACAGATCATTCCCGCCTTCAAAATACTCAAAAAAATATTTCTCTTCACTTCCCTGAAGAAAGGAGCACACGATTTTGTTCCGGGGAGCTCTCGATCAGCAGTCGAAAGCTCTTCCACTGAGCTACACACCGTCATGGATGCACCCGCATACCTTCACGACGCACCGTTGTATATTTTAACATGCTTTTTTTTGTGCTATGGGACTGATATTTGGGGACCATAATAACTATTGGTATAAACCATATCTGTTGGGACGCAACCCTCCCTGTGCATTTCCCCGCTCTACAGCTTTTTGGCCAATATCTCGGCACCCGATCTTTACAGTCCTTTCGGTCCTGGCCCATTCAATCCCTCTCCATCTGCATTTCTAGTTATTATAATTTCATGTGGGCTCATAGGGGCATTTCTTCTATTGTTTTTTATTATCTTAAACTTTTTTAAACATGAAATTTGTTTAAATTCATAATATCTTGGCACCTGTTCGAGTCTCGGACTTGAGATTTGAAACAACTGTTCCACTCGCTGAGACCCATCCAGTCATCTACTTCATTCCCATTGTGTAAGCATGGAGAGGGCTTAAGCACTAAAATATCATGCTCCAATGTTAATCCTATGGGGACTGGAAAATATTTCACCCCCTGAGGAATTGAGCTTAGAAATTGATTTTTGGTGGTCCGCCATTTGTTTGTATTAGTGCGAGCTTTACGTGGAATTGGGCCCTCCCCACCCCCTACAGGGCTTCCGTAGAAATAACTCGAATCCTTTGCCCTCTTGGTCGACCGCACCGGCGGGATTCGATTGTTCTTCCTATGAACAGACAAGATGTATTTTTTCAGGACCATAACCTCATTTCCTCTCCGATATTTAACATTTTAAAATTATTTTAAAGTTATAATTTTTTTTAAATCCCGCATAGCTCGGTTGATTGATTGATTGAATATTAACGTCGCACTGTTCAGCTACCCGAGGGCTTTTGGCGACGGACTTCGTAATTTTGAACCATGGTCAAGTGACGTGGACGACACCTGAGCTGGCACCCCCTCTCCTAACTACCACACCACACCAACGGGTGGACGTTTCAGCTCTCGACAGATTTAACATGCATCGCTGCCCTACACGGCGGGTCTTTAGTGGTACTGGGATCGAACTCGTGACAAGGCAAGCCACGGTCCGATACCAATACCACTCGGCTACCGCGGCCACCCCGCATAGCTCGGAGGAGTTTTGAGATTCATTAATGAAACTCGGACCATATGTTCTCCTCTTTGAGATGTTTCATCTGTTTTAATTCGTGCGTAGACAGTGGGCCTAAGGGGAGGGCGTTTTAACTAAAATTAGAATTCCATGTTATTCCTATGGCGTTCGATCTTTTGAAGAATTAACGATATTACAGAGATTGAAGGATGAAACTTTTTGATCACCTGCTACTGTCTATATTGTTGGTATGTACGTGACCATTTACGTCATAGTTGTCCCCCCAGGGGGAGTTAGTTTCGTTTTCCTTTCCCGAGCTAGCACCCGTCCCATTTGCAACTACAGACTCCAGACTGGTTCGAATGGATTCCTTTTCTGTTTCCTCACAACCAGGCCCAGTTTCGAGAGTTGCTAGGTGCCCTGCTTCTATTTTATTTTATTGTTTTAAATGTTTCAACTATTTTGTGTGAAAAAACCATAACTCGGGGGCTCTTCAGGCGGATGGCTTAATTTTCTCAGGAACAATTCTTCCCACCGAGACCTTCAATGTGAGGTCTCAGGTGTCACATTCATTTCAACTCATCTCCAGGTACAGTCCGCCGAACACCTCCCTTATGTTGTCAGTCTTATTGTTCCTGTGCGAGGGTGTTTAAATTTATTTAATTCGTGATTATCTCGAGTTTGGCTGGTCTAATTACTGAAAGCTATTCAACTCTGCTCGTGACCGCCTTTCGTCCTTGCCTCAGTTTGCCCTGCTCAAGATTTTTAGAATTATTTTAATCTTGTTACGCCAAAGAATTATAACTTCTTACGTGCGTACATAAGTACACATACACTTTTTTTCATGAAATATATGTCACATTAAATATTCATCAGCTTGATAAATATTTAAAGCAATATATGAATGGGGATTTTTCAAAAAATCATGAAATTTTATTCGTTAATTGCTAATAATATTTTTGATGAAGAATTTATATATTTAATGCTATAAAATTAAAAGGTATTTTCTCTCTCCGTGATATAAATTTTGATATTTTTTTTAAATAAAATAACTTATGATTTTAAACAAAGAGTTTTCTTTTATTTCATGAACTACGATAAACTAAGAAAAAAAAGCGAACTACAAACAATTTAATATTTCAATACACGCAAACATACCATAAAAAGCAACGTATTTCATAAATCACAAAGCTGGAATAGTCAAGCTAGAATCAAGAATAGTCAGCTGGGAAATCGATAGTTGAGCGAAATCTAAATGACCAAAATCATTTTTTTTTCTCTGAATCATAAAATAGTTTTGCAAACGAATAATATTATTGAGACTGGTTCTTTCATCTCGTAGATATTTGCGGAGAACATAAATGAAATTATTCTTCTTTGCTCTTCTTATGATTCATAGCTAAAATTACTTTACCCCAGCGTCTAAAAGAAAAACTTTAGACAGGTTTTATTTGTTTATTTTTCGCCCAGATTAAAATTTTAATTCATTTTTCTCACATAAAATAATACTTTAATATTATATTGTCCGACAAGTTCGTGTTGAATTTTGGAAGGTGGCACAAGAACAGGCCTGAATACATCAGAATGATTGAAAACAAATGACATGCATACCCATTCTAAGAGAAAGTACTTTAGGCATATTCGGGGAAAAACTTCAATACGATACATTAATCTCTCTCATTGTTACTTTTATAATCATTCAATATGGAAGCAGAAATTTTCCTTTTGGTGCAAAGAATACTTTTAATTTAGTGGAAAGATAAAAATTTATCGCAAAGGTGACAAAGAAAGCCAACTCTATTTAAGGCGAATGTGCTCTGTAGTCGATAGAGCTTTACGGAAGTAGTTTTCTAGCTTTAAAGCTGATGATTTCATTCTTAAAGAGCAGTATTAATCAAAAAAGCTCTTCGCCACAAAGAAAGATCATATAAAATTACTGGTGAAGAACAATGTTAACAATATCAAAATTCAACATTCATGATTATTTTATGAAGCTTGAAAACATAAATCACTTTGATGCCGGAGTTTCCCATGAATTTATGATGAAAGCCACGAGGAATCATATTTCCATTTGCGATTGATTTGTAAACAAAAAGAGAAAACACCATTCTTGAAGCAAGAAGTGACAAGAGGGAAAGAGACAAATTAATGATTTATAGTATTTCTCATTGAAAAACGTCTCGAGAGAAAGCGATAAATAAGACAAAAAATTTAGAGAAGTATTGTTCGTAATGAAACGAATTTAAGATAGCAATAGGTCAAAAATGTCCAGAAATAAAAAAGAATCAGAAAGGAATCGTGTTTTATCAGGACAATGTGTATTTGATAACTCGGTGAAAGTGATTGGAGTTGTGTTGGGATGTTCCACTCCATTCACTGTATTCGCCAGATCTTGCCTCTTCTTGTTTCTCTCTATATTGATTATTCCCTTATTTTCTTAGTGGATAAAATTTCAACCTTTTGGTCGAGATTAAAATCAACCTTGAAAAAGTCTCCGCCGAAAATTTTGAGAGATTTTGGAAGGGATGCTATATAGTTGATTGAACGATGAAGAAAATTTGTAGAACAGAAAATGCACCTATAATTTAGTAAATATATATTGAAGTTTAAATCTACTACGTTTCAATTTTCTTTCGAAATCAGTGGGAATTTTCTGGAAAAACCAACAATTGTATGATATAAAAAGAATCGTATGCTTTTTCCAAAACGAATAAGTAATAATATATAAAAAAGATCTTGTAATAATAATTTATGTAATGCATTAATGCACCTAATCTCAAAAAGATGTTAAATAATTTCATGAAGTCATGCGTTTCTAGGACCATGCAATAACAGACAAATAATTAAATAATTAAGAATAAAGAGAAACTAAAAAGAAAACCAAAATAGAACGAAGAACTTAATTTATATCATGGAATAAACGAGAAAAAATAATGAATAAAGATCTAATTGAGGGAAGAATATTTAAGTAATATTAATGAGAAAAATAAATGCAAATAGCTACACAAATAAATGTTGATAATGATGACTAAATGTACATTCAAATTAAATGTTTCTAAACCTAAATCCAATAAAGGTACTATAAAATATTTGACGTACCAATACCTCAAAGCAGGAGATCAAACATGATTTGCCTGTTCATGTTTTCTCCTTTAATTTCTTCTCACAACAGTTTAAGATAAAATACGAATAAGATAAGGGAGTGGTTGCTTTCGTATACAATTCGACAACATAAAGAGTATCAATAAAGCTAGTTAATTTTAAAATAAAAATATGTTATATCTCACTTTTTAGGAACCGTATTTTTTTTTATCAAAATATCGGCGATGTTAAAAAGTCAATTTTTTTCGGTAAGGGTTTCTTCTCACTGTCTCTACATTAATGCTCTGAATTTATTTAAATAATTCCTAATGGGAATTTCGTACTTAAATATCAACCTCAGCGAAAAGGAATCGGCATATTCCATCAGAACTATATTGTTATTGTTTCAATTTTTTTTGGAAAAATGTGTTTGGTTTTTAACGATGTGTTTCATGTTCCGTATGATCTGGTGTAAAAGCAACAATATTTTACAAAGTAAAACTGCGTTATTTCTGTCTGTTTGTATAGTATATTAATTTTAATACGCGTAAAAAATTTATACCTAAAATGTGATATTTATGTTATTCTTTATAAAGTGTTCTAATAAAATTACAAAAATGTAACAATGTGACATGAATATTAATGTCTTA